TCTGCTGGTTGAGCTGAGCACAGAGCACATCATGCAGGCCAAGACTGTAGAATGAAATAAGGTCCATCAAAGCCCGTGTGATTTTGATTCAGCTGATTTAGTTGAACTTTGGAGCAATGCATGAAAACGTGGTATAACTCAGTAATATTAAACACGTTGTTTAATATTTTATAACCAGGATTCCTATATCTCTGAATTTTGCATTACCGTGTGTCTTTGCTTCTGCAACTACTGTAATGTTTGCACTTTCATTTTTGACTCATTTATTACTTTGCCAAACTCAGAATATTAAAGAGATTAACTAATATGCCTCTGCATTTTGACACTTACGTGTGGTTGTTGTTAGTGATGTGTTGCTGTTAGAAGATTTTATTGTTAACATTTTCATCTCACTGTCAGAAATACAGTGATGCTGAATGGGTTAGAGCTGAGGTTTGGAGTTTATATTGCACGCAGGAATTATTGATTTATCACTTATTGGTTTGGTACTTTCTCTGCTCTCTGTGCCATTTATAGCTTAGGCTCTGCAGGTGTTTGAACCTGCCACAATATCCATACACATTTGCACACTGGAGAAGTTGGTTGCATAGCACTGCATATACTGTTAACTAGCCAATATTTGAGTTTTAATTAACAGTTGGCAGACGTTTACAATTTTTGAGATTTTTTTTTTTTTAGACAGGAGAAGTTTATGCCTAAGAGGCAGATTTCCACTGTATACAGTATGTATTGCATATATATGCGGTTGCTTATCAGAGCACAGAAATCAGCAGAGTGGATTGTTTTTCCACATCTTTCCCACAGGCATCAGAACCTTTGAACTCTTGCATTTATGACTAAAGACAGAACTCCTGCTGCTGTTGGTGTAGCAGTTACATACTGCCTTGCTTCATTTTTCCTAGAATAATAAATAATGCACATTCACATGTTGACACAACATTATGTTGCTGAAAAATGGATGTCGACTTTATGTGTAAGAAATTCTGCTTAGTTTTGTTTACTTTAACTACCACAGGCTCTTAGGGTGAACAGTAATATATAACTGTGAAAAGCCACCATACCTATGTGAATTGCATATTATATTAAAAGACCTGGCTTTTACCTCAGGCGTGACACCAGAAGTTTCTGAAAAATTGATGTCAGCAAAATAAAGGCTTTCTGTGAGAGCTTTTGCCTATTATTCTCTAGTTTTATTTACTGGTAACTACCACTGACTGTTAAGATGACCTTTCGAAGAAAAGTCTCAAAGTAATTCTGAAGCTATTACTATACTTAAATTACTGCACAAAATCTTGAGCCAACCCTTTATATTTTGTTGAGAAAATGGGGAGGTGGGTGCAATTATGTAATGAAAGGTAGAAATATATATGGAGATACAGTACATAAGGCAAAACTGAGTTTATACAATACAATGGCCATCTGTACACACATAGCCTGAACTCTATCAGGCAAGCTTTCCTGTAGTTTCTTTTGAGTAGCCTTCAGGAATAGTTCTCCAGGCTTCTTGAATTGCATTCAAAGCTCTTCTTTGGATGTTGGCTTTCTTTTGTTCCATTCTCACTGAAGATGATCCCACACTACTTCAGAAATGTTTAGGTCCAGGCTTTTGGGATGTCAGTCCACACCTAATCTTCCTCTGTTGTGTTTTTCTGTTCAGGTATGCGTTTACTACATTGGCTGAGTGTTTGGGATCAAAGTCCTCATTGCTTTCCAGATGGTATTGTATGGTGGATTCAAATCCGATGGTATTTTTCTGTGTTCAATTTTGACAAGATCTCCAACACCACTGAAATGCAGCTTTCAAACCATAACAGAGCTTCCACCATGTGTGACAGATAACTGTAGACATTCAGTGTTGTCCCTCCCTTCTAACCTCCTCTGTATTTGTTGACGGTGGTATGAATTCAAAACTTTACATTAGTATTTACAAATCCAAAAGGCCTGATGCCACTAAATTTTAGTCCAGTTCTTGTGTAACTTGGCACACCTTTTCTCCCTGGTTCACTCCCTTCCTGACATGGCTTCCTAACAGTACGTTTCCACTGAGACTCTTTCTGATGAGGCATCTCTGAGATCTTGTGTTTCAGGTCATTGCTGGATCTTTTTAAAGGACATGACTTTGAAATACTATTTTGTTCTTTTACTGCAGAAAGTTTTTTAGGCTACTTCTTGTGTCCTCCACTTGTCCAGTTTCCTCACATGTTTTAGGAAAACTGCACACCATGAAGAGATTTGTCAAGTTTTCATCTAATAGCTGTTTTGGACTTCACCTTGTTGGTGCAAAAATACTATTTTATGTCAAACTGTGCTATGTTTTCCTTGATTTCACTAAGAAAGTGGGAACAAATTATGTGGGTTTTTTTTTTTTTGCGATAGGCTGCTAGTAACAAAGTGTCTAAAGATACAATCTAGATTTTTTATACCTTTTCTCATCAGCTCTTATATATATGCAATATATGTAAGTTTGGCTTCTTGGGAGCAAAGTAGAAAAGTAGAAAGAAATCAGGTTTGGTTTAAGATTCTTGTACAGTACTGTATGTGAATTGGCATTTTCTTATTCTTATGATATTGGACATCCAATGTATGTCTCTGTGATGAAACAGGTCCTTATATTTAATGTTATATGTTCTTATTATATGTTACATATCAGTCTCCTAATTCCGCTTAAGTGCAGTATGTGATATGTTTAAACATGCCGTGAAGTTAACCTTCTTCCCTTTTTTTACTCTTGTCTCTGCAGAAGTGTTTAAAATTCAATGTGGATGCTCCAATCTGGCTGTCCAAGCAGCGAATCCTGTGTACTCTCAACCAGAGCCTGAAGGATGTATTAAACTATGGCCTATTCCAGCCGGCATACAACGGCAGGGCTGGCAAGTTTCTGGATGAGGAGAGACGGCTAAGGGAATACCCCTTCCCATCTATTGCTCCTGTACCTTACCTTGAGGTAGGTGTGGATCGTGTGCATTTATAAAGCTTCCACTGATGTATGATAGGAAGAGAGAAAGAAGCTGTATATGCAACAGCACCATACATAATCGTGTATACATCTTCAAAAAGATTTTTGACTCTGTGAAAAATCAATTCACATTAGAAATGCTTTTATATTCTTCCTATATTTTTTGTATTTTATATATTGTCCTAATAATTATCTTTGCATGATTTAAGTAAAGCACTTTGTGAATACTAAACACACGATCAAAATGAGTATTATTAGGAAAAGCTGAACAACAGATGTTGATACTGGCAAACAAGCCGGCCAATCAGTGCCTCCTGCACCACTTAATGAAACAACTCTGTCCATATCCTGTTTTAATTTGGAAATTTTACAACAGTTCAGCGTTCCCAATAATGGTTGTTTTATTTATTTTGTATGTCACAGAAAAAGCTGGTTGTCGCTGCTTCAGCTGATTTCAACAAGAATGCATACTACTGTAGTTATGGAAGTAGGGCTGTCGAAATATGAAATATATAGAGCTTAACGTTTTTTATTGGAGGTATAAGAAATATGTTTGGGAAACTGAACATGCTTAACGCTGGCTCTGCAGTCTAGTGGCCTCTCTAGCTCTGTTCTAGCTAATAACTGCCAGAGAGGCCATCATAATGCTGCATGAACAGTTTGTTTAATTCCTTTCTGGGGCACAACATTTGGATAACTGAAACCTGAGCTTATTAAGACACTTCATGTTTGATTAGAGTAACCTAATCATTCCAGTCTGCAGTAACTTCACAGCAGCTGAATCTTGCTACACAACAGTGAGAGGTGCTTGCTTCGCATAATAGGGGCCAACACTGCACACCAGTGTCACTATGCCTGCGCACAGTGCTGATTCATTCATATACAGCACGTAGTTTTTGTTTAATTTACCTTTGTTTTAGTGCACTGTTGTTTTGATGTTATATAAATACTGATGCGTTATATTTTATAGGTTTTATCCTAGCATACTGTAGACATCTGTTTTTTAAACCATATTGATGAATGTGTTTTTAGTCATAGTCCCTTTAACCTAATAATAAATACAGCATCTTGCACCTGTGGTTTTTCGGGGAGGGGTCCTTGTTCCCATGGCAGCGTGATTCAGTTTATAGGCCAGTGTAATAGTTTCTCTTATCATTTTTCTCACCATGTCATTTGTCAGTCATATTACAACTCATTGTTGTTCAAAAGTCATATGTCTATATGTGTGTTTATGCTTCACATGCAGGCTGATGCGACATTTGGATGCATGTGTCTGCATCATTTTAAGTGTGATGTATGCTTTTTCTGATGTGCCAGTCAAACCCGATGGCAATAATGCTGTAGTCAGTGACAGTTTATTGTCTGCTGCAGCTGTCATCTCTCAAAGATAATTACAGTGCTTGTCCATCAAGCTTTTTGATCTGAGAGAATTAGAGACTGTTTAACAGACAAGGGTGTAAAGATGACGGCTAGGTTTTCTTTCTTTTTTTTCCCTGACTGCCTTTGTTTTCAGTGATTTTGTGACATGTCAAGAGCTTGAAATAAAGCGAAATAAAGATCTACCAAAGAGTAAATTCTTCCCTGAAACATTAAGAATTTTTTGTCTCGTTACTTTGTTATAAAACTTTGTTATGAAATTAGCTATGTTAGTTTTCTAGAGTCTTGACTGCAAATCAAGCTTGAGATTGTGTAATGTCTCAGCTTAAGGACGAATAATACTCATTTAAAGTTAATTACGTTGATTTGGAGTTCTACTAGACTATGTCTACACATTTTAATGTTTCTACTTTCTACTACCTCTCTCTAAAATTCTCAGTTTTAGCTCATATACTTCTACAGAAGTCACAGCTTATCACAAAAAAAACACAACACAATTTTCTGCAATGGCATTACCAGTTAGGTTCCTTTACCAAACCCCTTAACATTCATTCTACACAGCATTTAGGATGTTACACAATTTAAGAGGCAAAATGATGCAAGAGCTGACAGGGTGGGTAAGTTGTCAGTGCCATTTGTCCATTTGTTTGTCTAGTCTGTACTGTATCTAATTCTATCTGGATTTGTGGTTGTACTTCCTAAAACTTATAATTTAGCTCAATAGGCGTGGATTGATCAGTTTGTGTGCACAAGTGTCTGCTGCTACTTTGCCAGAACACTATGTATTGACCTGCAGTTATTCCCTTAGGCATGTTGGGTGTAGAGAAGATTGACAGGTTCGGATTAGCGGCTGAAAATCCTGTGCTCTGCTGTGGATTTACTCTGTTGGTGAATGCCACACATCGCTGGAGAAGCAGACATGCACACACGTACACACACAAGCACAAAGAGACCTGAAATACATGGAGTCCTGGGCAGTGAAAGTCGCAAAGTTTTAAAGGTATTACAGGCTGTCAGTGTTCAGTGAAACCTTTCTACAAAAAGCAGTTTGCATCAGACCTAATGAATGATCTGGCTTTTGACAAATTCCGGTAAAGCTGCTGACCAAGTTGGGGTAGAGGCAGAAAGCTTGATGAATTAGTTTGCAGTAGTGAAGCTCAAGTCATCATGCTACCTGAACTCACCACTGCCACATCTCTAACCTATTGTCTGATTACTAGACCACTTGGCTGGATCTGTCTTCTTTATGATAAAAAACAAAACAAAGAAGCTTTGTTATAATATTAGGAAACATGCTGAAATAGTTGAAATAGTTGTGCTCACATCCTCATCTGCTGCTGGAACATTTTCTGGTTAAGCACCTTCGTGCATTCGTCATTCTTTATAAATAGCTGGTTGTACTCTATATATGCCCAAGCCATGTAATTAGCACACTTTCTCCAACGTATACATTTTTTCTTTTAAAAAGCTATATTTTGTCTCAATTTGTTAAGCTACAAGGATCCCGACCAAATTGCTGACCACTTTCTGGCTCTGCTTCTGAAAAAGTCATCTTCTGTGGGATTCTCATTTTATATGCCTGGTCTAATTTATTATCTTGTCATGGAGGATTGTGAGGAGTTGTCAGGTGTGATTTTAGTTGTCTTTATCGCCTTTTCTGTGTACAGCTATACTTATTTATCTGCTATACTTAAGTCAAGTAGTTACTTTGACTTTTATTTTGTCAGATTTTCTACTTTTATTACATAATGTATTGATTGGTTGCCTTCAGAGTTCAAGTTCAACTTTTGTTATGCTTTTCTTTCTAATCTGATTTTCTAGCTGTAGAAAATATTTTATCTAAAAATGGTGAAAATGTCTTTTTTGTGCTTTCCTATACATGAGGTGTTTAGCTGATATTGGAAGACTTTTTTTAGCTATTTATGTTTCATATTCAAGCTCCAGTCACAGTTTTTGGGTTTTCAAGCAAGATGTAATATATGACAAACATGACATGATGCTGGAAAGAGATGACAGCAAGCTGCAGATAGAAATTTCATTTCATAATGACTTTGAAAGTTATTAAATAAGTCCAAATATGTTGTTTCTGCTCTCACTTTCTATTTCATGGGACCAACTATAGAAAATAATTATTTTACACCAAACTAGGCTAAGCAGATGATGCTGCATGACAATTTTAGTTATAACTTAATTTTTTTGCAAAGCAGAGATAAGAGCCTCTTATATTTGTTCTTCTTTTTCAGTTCCGCTATAAAAGACGTGTCTACACTCAACCTACCTGGATGAAAAGCAGTTGTCCAAGCTCCACACTAAGGTAAGCCCAAATAGTCGTGTGGTTTTCAATTCCACAAGCTTTTTGTTTTTGCAACCTTTTGAACGCAGTGATACAGGTACAGTAATACATAATTAAAACACTGACTGGATAGCATAGTGGCACAGTGGGCCACTACAAGGAAAAATTGTGTCCTTTTTTATGTTTAGATGGTGAAAGTAATGATGGAAGCAATGAGTGTTGCCTATGAAACTGGTCTACATATGTTAGATTGAAATCTTGCTGAAGCGAAGCAAAGCCAAGGATCCAAAATCATGTTGAGACCATTCAGTAATGCCACATGCTTGTTCCGTGTTCTGTTTTTTCAGATTTCCTTGTACACACATGTCTGTACAGACTAGAGATGTCACAAGAACCAATATTTAGCTGTCCAAAGCCATATTTCTGAAATATGGCTATTATACTGAAAGTGCCAAAGGTATGATTGTGGTTCCATAGTTTGTGGTTTACACATTTGCCTAACACATAAAGTCCCTGGTTGGACACAAATCCCTTCGGGGATGTGTCAGGAAGGGCATCCGGTGAAAAAAAATCTGTCAAATCAAATATGCGGAGCTATCTGCTGTGTCGACCCTCTGTGAATAAGGAGCGGCTGAAAGAAGCTTTTACTAAAGTACCAAAGGAAGCATATTATATCATCATGGGAAATAGTGAGTGAACATGCAATTAATATAACATGTGAAAACACACTAAGAGTATATATATTTTTCATTTCAGACTGATTCATGCTGCTGAAATGAAACAGAACAAAGTTACAGAGGCTTTAGTCAAGACGTAGCTATGCATTTTGCAGTTTGGCATATTTTGGAACCATCTGTGAAAGTGATATTTCTTAGTATTAAATAGCAGAAATTAGGCTTCCTTTTTAAAGTTGTTTTTGTAACATAAATAAAAGCTCAAATTAAAAAGTGGACAACAACGCTGTATACAATGGTAGACTGGCATGTAATGCATTTATGCATAAACAAATGAATAAGACAGAAAAAATGCTCTCGGGAAAATATTTTCAAGCCACACTGGGAGATTGAGTTGCTCAGGAAATGTGGTTTTATCGCATTGGATTTAAGTTTGGAGGCAAGACAGCAAAGGACAACTAGAATTTGGGTTAATTTCTCAACATGAAATGTATTATCTTTTGCTGATAGTTTAGTAATTTTGGCGTGATAAAACTTGCAATTTTACTGGGGCCCTTTCATTTTGAGAGGTTTATATGAAATACCTCCATTTTAGTTATTTATTCCTGGTGGATATTGAAATAGTCATTTCATGGTCTTGGTACTTACTGCCTAATTTCCTGTGTAGTCGCATTTCTCTGGCAAACATCGCTGTCAATCTGATTTTAGAGTTGTTTCGTTTTTTCTTCCCTTTTTATGTTTCCCACCAGCAGGCTGATCAGGGTGCTAAAAGTGTTTTTAAAGGTAAAATTCAAAATAATTTCCAGCTGGATTTACTGATTCTCCATTAAGATTATAGAACGGAAATGTTTCACATCACTAAGACAACAAAGCACTTTAGAAATTGCTTACTTGGTACTGTCAGCCAAGTATTTGCATCTGAGAGGCTCTGGTTGAGTTTTATTGTGTAATTTTTTTATGAGATGGTTGAAAAGAGGCCAAAGTAAGAGTGCTGCTCTTTATGTTTGTTGGTTCATTCATGTGTAATTGAAGTACGCTCTTTAGGCCATGTCAAGCACTAACATGCTTGCATAAGGACAGAGTGTGCTCATACACAAAGAAGCATGGTAGATGTCACATAAACATAAACTAGATCTTTTGTGTGTTACTGTGGCACAATAAATATTCAGGGAAAAAATAGGCCACATTCACTAGTATGATTCATCCCGAGCTTTTCCCAAACTTGTATAATTGCTTTTTTGTCAAAATACAACTGAAATTTCTTTTGTAAAATGCATGATTTCCTATTTAACTAGGAAACAGAACAGGAAACATGATTTGCAATCCTGAACTAATTTTTGTTCACTTAGTATAATTTTTTGTCAGAAACAATATGTTCTTAATGCATGTATAAGTGCAAGGTAAATCAAATTTCAAATCTTTTGTGATTGAAATGCAACTTTTAATTCATATATTGAAAATATGTGTAAGGGCATGTTGCTAACCGGATGTGAACAGACTGCAGAAGAGAAGGCAGGTTTGGTAAACTAAGCTTGGTGGATCAGCAGGCTCACAGACACAGTATAAAGTGGCAAACAGAACCAAAAGGCTAGTGTTGGCAGACATTTGTGAGGCCCAGCAGGTGGTCTCAAATACAGAAAAGAAGAGCAGGATAAATGTTGTCTTCTGGGCAGCCTAGATAATCTGGCAAAGCATGCATATTTGCTGAGCACTATTAATATTATTCATGAAATAATGGGAACCAGGTGTGCACACAGGTGACTGATGATATAATTGTTTGCAGCAGGAATTTAGTGAGTACAACTGTGGCCTGTTCTGTGAAGCTGGATTTGGGTTTTTCGGGTAACTTTAAGGTTGTCCATGGGTTTTCAGTACTAAGGAAGTGGTTCCCTCCATACCCAGCTGCATCTCCATGCTTCAAGTTATGTTCAAGATTGGAAATCAAAAGGCATGAAAATATCAACCACTGATCAATCAGATGTCCATTCCTGTAAGATCCCTAGGACTAGGGTCTAAAGTTTTTAAGTGGTGTCTAAAGTTTTCCCCTGTGAGTATTAAATTATATAGATTGAACTTTAGAGCTGGGCGATATGAGATTTTTTCATATCACGATATGTTTTTTCATTTCAGGCGATAACGATATCTATCACGATATAAGCCAAATAACTATATTTGTAAGATTTAAATGTGCCGTTGCTCACAAGTAAAATGTGAAATAATCAGCAGCTTGTTTTTATTTAAATATTATTTCCCATAATAAGTTCAACAGGGTAGATGTACTTAAGGAACATGAGACTTTTTCAGATAAATAAAGGCAAATATTGCAAACTACACAAAAGGCAGCCGCTAAAGCGTTTAAGTTTCAAAATAGAACAAATGAAACAGACTAAATTGTCAATTCCACTTAGAAACAAAATATTAATTCTAAAAATAAATCTTAGTTTGTTTTACAGAAGAACAGACAAAACTGACTAACTTTTGTCAGTATCAAATAAACTGAGAACTAAAAGGAAATTCTCAATCTCTCCTTGTTGTATAGCTGAGCTTTTCAAACAGTTTTAACAGTTACTTTAGTCTGACAAAAGCCGAATGACGAATTAGCGCTTCCAGTCAGAGACTGAGGCTACGTCCACACGTACACGGGTATTTTTGAAAACGGAGATTTTCCGTTTTCGTTTTAAAAAATAATCCCGTCCACACATAAAGGCAGAAATGAAGGAAAACGCTGCTATGAACATGCCAAAGCAGCAGGTGGCGCTAGATTCCTAACCGTGCAGAAATGTTGGCCAATCAGAAGTCTAGAAGCCTCGGTGGGAAAAAGTAAACAAAGCTGGGGCATAGAAGCAGAACCGAGTCGTATGTGTGGACGGACAGTAACTGTGTGTATATGTAAGCATTTAAACACTGCAGAGAGTAGAATTAACAGTAACAGTATTGTAGAAATTCATTTCACCGAAACAATAACGTGGTGCACAGTGTGACACATGCACCAGTTTATTGTATTTCCAGACTTGCTTTCGGCACAATTTACAGTGCACGCTACTCTGTTTTTTGTCAGACTTGAAATAGCCGAAATACCTTCACACTACGGAACTTCTTTGGCTCTTCCGTTCGACAATCTCTCCGGCATTGGAACCATCATCTGTTTTCTCTTCGGTCACGCTCGGTTGATTTTTCTAGTCGGCACACTCATTTCCTCCATTACGCGCTGGCTCCATTACCCGCTGGCTGCTTCCCAAACAAACACACGTGCGGCTTGGCACTTGTGCTGTACGTAACAAGTCACGCGACGTGACGCTGCGGCTGTGATTGGTTCGGCTCTGCGTTACCTAATTTGGATTGGCTGACTTTTTTTTTTTTTTTTTTAAGAGGACAAGAGCGGCGAGGTCTATCGCGATAGCTTAATTTCTCTATCGAGTAAAAGTTATATCGCGATACATATCGTTATCGTTCTATCGCCCAGCTCTAGATTGAACTTCATCCATTAACTTTTGCTTTGCTGCTTTTGTAACCAGTTTCTGCTTCACCCGCTGCAACAGTTCGGCCCAAACAGACTCCTCGACTGTGTTGTGTTTTTAAGAAGACAAGGAGTCTCTGATCGATCGTTGCCAGTTTATTTCCTGAATGCAAACAACGGTGTTGTATCAGTGCAAAGGGCTCGCCACACACCACTCCGCACAGCACACTACGGCAGAACATCCCATTAGCATTCCACTTTAGCATACAGTTTCACACATTAATAAACAAATGAAAAGTACATAAAACTGATGTTGCACATGTGTCCACTAAGCACTTATTACACTCGGTGCCCATCAGTTGATCATACATGGTTTATGTGTCTGTACTATTTAGCTACATTGTGTGCGGTAAATACAACTCACCTCTCGTATGGCTACGGCAGACTGGCAGCGATTACTGCAGCCAGCCTCACCTAACCAGCCACACCGAGAGGCGGGGCGCTGTTTCCCCATTACACTGATATTTGTGGCAAGTGGAATAATACCACATAAACACTGTTACACTTTCTCCTTTGTTGGCTGCAAGCATGCAAAAATACTTTTTTGTGCTGTAAACCTGCAGAGCTAGCTAGAATGGGAAACCCTGGGTTTACTTATTGTGCTGATAACCACCTTTATGTGATGACTTAGCCTGCTTCATTATGTCGGGTTACCTGAAGCCAGATAACAAAAACAGACATCCTGAGTATCTTAAACAGGCTTCGTAGTACAAGGCTGAGGTGGACAGGTGCAGGTGGCAGGTGTGGTATAGCAGGAGATGACAGTAAATAGTTACTTGTGAAGTCCAGGTTTTCTGTGTGTGTGTGTCTGTAGACTGGAGTGGAGCAGA